CATTCATAGATGCTAGAGCAGTGAGGAAGTTATTTTTTTCAACAACTTTATGAAACTTAGCTAAAACCCTAACAATTGTTAGGTCTGAGTACTACTTCAGTAATACTGATATGGATTAGGAATGAGTCTTCTTTTGTAAAAGTTTCATGTTCTGAAGAGTATTCCAAATGGTGAGCTGCAGGTGAGTATCATAGATGGACTAAGATAATCAGCTCCCCCTGGCAGTTAGGAAGGCTAGATGGTAGGTACCAGGGTGGCCGGGCCCCTGGCCAGTTGTGAGTGTCCTTATCCACTTACCCAACTGTATCATCGGATATTAACACTTTCTGTGTGCAATGACCTAAAAACAATGGGCAGTGCTGAAGTGAAAAAGGACTGACTCCATAAATTACAAGGCCATGGCATTTCATACAGATGAGATCTTCCAATTTACTTCCCCCAAGTGTCAAGTAAACCCAGTATTAAACAGGTTAATGGGCTTAACTACTCTCATACTTGAGGACATTGGGATGTCAGGTCATTTTGCAGCTCAGGAGTTACCTTTCGGACATTTTATTTTGTGTCCCAAAAAGGAAAAGAAAAAAAAAAAAGGTAGCAGAAGATATCTATGAGGAAAATAACCAAACACTGGTGCTGCCAGCTGCAGGAAGAGTTACCTGGCCTTCCCACTTACTACCGCTGCCTCCTTGACATTAAGATGAAGGCCTTCATCCTCCTGATCTTGAAAAGCACATTCCCCTCCTCAACTTCCATAAATCTGCAAAACTTGAAAAGAGCCCCAGTGTCATCAAGTAAAAGAGACAGGTTTAGGAATCTCACAGGAAGGAGGGGTGTCTTCAAGCCTCTCACTGCTAAGCCGGACATTTCCTAACACTGGACAAATTGTACGTCCAGCTCAGGGAGGGTGAACTGCAGTGGTCTTTTACCCTCCAAGCCAATTGTTAGCTTTTCACAGGAATCAGCAGGGAAGCACATGTGAAACCTCTGTGTGCCGGTGAGCACCCCCATGCCTTGTGTGACTCTGCATGTAGATGAAGCAGGCTGGGAGCTTTCTTAGCTGCTGCTGCTGAGTTCTCAGAGCAGCCCTTTTCTCCCAGCTTGGCTCCCTGCTGGGACAGCCCTTTTCAATTTTTCTATCCCCCCTCGATCTCTTCTCCTGCAGAACACAGGGAAACTTGATTGAAATAAAGACCTAGGGAACATGTTTTATTTTCTCCTGTTCAATCCATTTTAGAAAAGCTTTTAATTGGTTTTAAAAAGATGCTAAACAAAATGTGATGATGTTTTTCAGTCTTCATGAACTACCAATACCACTTTTTATACTTTCAAAGGGCTAATAAATCAATCATGAAATTAACTCTCTAGCTAAATTTAAAGCAAATTCACTGAATACCAGGTTCATTAAAAATCTATGCATTTACTTAGAAAAATTTAAAATTCAAAGAAAATTATCCTAGTAACTGAAATCTGACTTGAATTTTTAGTTCTACACTGAAAATCCAAGACCAAGGCAATCACAAAGGGAAAAAGGAGGGCTTGTGAACCAGTTTTAATAAGCCAATTTACAGGAAAGGAGGGGGCGGTGGGGGAGGGGTGGAAGTAGAAAAGAGAATATCTGGATACATAACAACATCCATCCTGCCCCCAAGGGATTCTTTTATTTGAGCATGTGCACACATGCACACACAATTTTTCTATGTGAAAGCTGGAATTAACAACAAATGCAAAATTAAAGATTCTGTGACTGATATGATCGCTATATTGTACACATGTACAGTTCTTCTTTTTAGAGAAAAATGTCTTCAACTTTTCTATTTTCTTACCAGTAATAAATAATAATTTCTACTACTCTATGCATCTCTACAACATTCAGATACATAGACTTTAAATATTTCATTGAGAACAACTGAAAAGCCTACATGCTAATGGTTTGGTGAACTTCAGAATGACAAGGATTCTGGACACTGGATCAATATGAAAACTTCCCCTTATTCTCTTGAGAGAATGCAAACTAATTTTAAAAAGCAAGGTGGTTCAAAGCATACTTTTATCTTGTTAAATATATGCCAACTAGAAATATTAAAATATTCATTTCCCTTGCTCCTGATTCACTTATATAGCAGGTCATCTAGCAATCCAGGTCAGAGTTACCAAATTCTGATTAATGACAGGCTGGTATTCCCTGAAAAGAGACTCCCTGCCATTTCTAATCACTAAGGCAACCAGATCTCTTACTTCTTGGAATATTTCTATATTCTTCCCCTTCAGTCTTCAGAGGAATCCTTCCCACATCCTTCTTAATGATCTCAACCTCTGTTTCTAAGATTTCTCCCAAGCTGGGCCGTGTACCTTGGACGCTCACCCCTTACTTCTAACTGCCCATGTAATTCTCCTTTTATTATTTAAGTAGCTCCTGAAACCACTTTTTAAAACTGTAACTGCTTTACTTAGCTAGATAGCACAGCATAAAATGTGTACCAGTCAATGGGCTTTAGTATGTAGTATATACACAGATACATGTAACCATCACGGAAATCAATTTTAGAACCTTTTCATCACCCTAAAAAGAAACACCACGTCTATTAGTAGTCACTTCCCATTCTCTCTGTCCCACCCTCCCAGGCCTAGGGGCAACCACTAATGTTTCTGTCTTTATAGATTTGCCAATTCTGGACATTTCACATAAGTGGAATCGTCTAATATGTAGTCTTTTGTAAAACATGCTTAGCATGTTTTCAAGGTTCATCCATGCTGGCACATGTATCAATACTGCAACCCCACCCCTACCCCACGGAACCTGGAAACCAGGACTGTGAGCCTTGCCTGCTCACCCCAGGCCCTGGCCTGGGCCCTGCAGGCCCACTAACATAATTCTGCATTTTTATTTTTACTGCTGAATAATGTTCCCTTATATGGATATACCAGATTTCATATGATGAACATTTGTGTTGTTTCTATTTTTTGGTAATTAACATTGACTTACAAACTTCTGTGAGGACATGTTTCCCTTTCCTCTGGGTGTATACCTGAGAGTGCAACTGCTAGGTTACATAGTAACTCAATGTTTACTCTTTTGAAGAATGTGCTAGATTGTTTTCCAAAGGCTGCATAATTTTTATATTCTCACCAAGCAGTGTAAGGGGATTCCAATTTCTCTACATCCTTACCAACACTGCTTATTATCTGGCTTTTTGATTACAGCCAGCCTTGTGGGTCTGAAATGGTGCTTCACTGTACTGATTTTGATTTTCATTTATCTGATTCTTAATGACGTTGAGGACCTTTTCATGTACTCATGACCATTTGAACTTTACTTATTTTTTAATGTTTTTGCTCTAATCATACCCTATCTAGATATAAACTTTAACAATTCTAAAACACTAAAGCCAACTCAAAAGACATTTAAAAATTGTTGACTAAGCTATCTGTGAAGCATATATGTATAAACCTCTGTCCCAGACAGTGTGAGATTTAAAAGCATAGCATAAGACAATGTTTTTTGTCAAAAATCTTACAATTATTTTTACAAAATAGAAATAATTACTCTTAAAATCTTTTGTCAAAATGCTGCAGATCATTTGTTAATATTTTCTGTTTATTTCTATTAGTATCTATTTTGGATTACAAATACATCTCAGGGGATGTATTTCTGTTTATTTAAATAAATTTAAACAGTTTAAAATAACATTGAAAAGATTTTCTTCCTTTTTCTAAGTCACTTCTAACATAAATTCCTTTTAGCTAAAAAGCTGAATATTACATAAGTTTAAACGCCTAGAAAAAAGTCTCTCATTCTAATAATTTAAAATATACTCATCTCACAAAAAAGATTTTTGTGTTTGTGTGTAATATATGTAGAAGCTGGGGAGAAATGATTTTTGCTTTAGCACTTTTAGATACATCTGTTTATATATTTATAAAAATATTGAAGAAATCAGAAGAGGGAAAAAATATACTCACTTTTCTAACTTCAGCCTTTAGTATAAGCTAAAACTTCAATTAGTGGAAATGATGGCTATGGGAAGAGGATTTAAAAATCCTTCCCCAGTGCATTTTTGTAGCAAATATTCAAGGCTGTTGTAGGCTACGTTTCTTTTTACTACCCTCGAAGTTAGAAAAAAACCCAAACCCTTGAAAATCAAGGTAAGTCTTTTACTTTAAAGTGCTGAATACACACACAATTTTAACTGTTCAATTAAAAATTAGACTCACCAGCTTAAACATTAAATATTTTCCATATGGATTAGTTTATCACTAACTTCAAATATGAAATTCCTATGTAAACATTAAGGTGTTTTTCAAGTTAGTGCTTAACTCCTTTGCATCTGCCTTTGATTGGCAGTTCTTCGAGGTTACAACACTAAGAATCAATCAAGAGAATCTGTGTCTTGTGACATAGCCAAACATGCTCTGGCAGCCTCTACATAATTAACATATTTAACCAACCGTCATAGGATGGTTTTAAATTTGTTAAGCTGTCAGAATCCCCAGACTCTAATAGGCACATCAGTAAAAATGCAACCACATGAACCAAGATCTTTGCTATAAATAAGTTTATCTATTTAAAAAAATCTTCAGTTTGCCTAAAAGAAATAAACTGAAATTCCCCCAAATACAAATTTCTAGGAAAACCTATACAATGATAAATGAGACAAATGCAAACGTATGTTTCATCCTGTTGACATTAACATTATAATCTCTCTGTGCAGACGGAGGAGGGCAGGGATGTGTAGTGTGGTGGAGAGTTTATAAAACAACAAAATCAATACTAATCAAAATTGGGATTTTTGGTTATCTTCAGAAAAGAACTGGAAAAATTCTGTTAAGAAAATAATTCACTTTAAGTAGAAGGCCAGATCAATGAACTTTCAAAATCCCTTCGACAACAGAATTTTATGTGTTTATGATCACCTGGTTAGAGAGCATGTACCAATACCCATATGCAACTTGCTGAAAAACTCTTTGAAAAAATATTCCTTATTATTGCTATTATTATTTACCTGAGGAGGTGCCTTTTTCAGCAACACAAGAAGAGCCTGTAATACGAGATTGGAAAATCGAGGGCCAATGGGAACATAATCTAGAAGAGAAACATTATTGTGTTTAGGGATTCAATATACATGTGCCCATATCCCAAACATTCAGATTGTTCTGCATCAGGAGTAAACACAGCCCTAAATAAAAGCCATGGCATCATCTATAATAAGAAAACATATCTCCAATAATATAGCCTATATGCTTAAAATATAAAAGTCCTTATCTGTAATTTTTTTTAAAGTTTCTAAATATTTATTCTGAGTTCATATAGACATCCCTTTTTTTCCTTTTTTACAAGGAAAATCCCCCAGGTTATTTGTTAAGCATTTCTAAGAAACTACAGCAAACCATGGCAATTGAGTACACTGATAAGAAAATATGATGCTAAAAAATGGGTGGAGGGGACAATAATAAGTAAGGAATTTTAATACAACGGAAAGGGAGGTACAGCCACCAAAATTGGCCCTCAGATGGCAAGGAACAGAAGACTTTCTCAGTAAACTTTCTACTGGTTAGATTTCTACCAATATTGCATAAGCACTCTTGTCCTGTGTGTAGAGTTACCTCTGCCACAGCCCCCTTACGTCATAATGGGCCAGAAGCAATCCCTCTGTTTTATGAATAACCAGAACACACAGCACATTCTTCTTTGCATTAATTTTTGCTAATATATGTTATAATGGACTGGTAGCATCTTGTTTTTCTGAGACCCTAGTAATTTCAGCACAGTAGTAAGGGCTCAGCAAATGCTTGTTGAATAAATGAACAAGCAAGTATCGATAATAACTATTCCTACAAGTAAAAATATACTCAGAGGCCACACATTCCTTACATAGTAGAGTTGCTATGACCACACATCTCAATTGTGTTAAGATAAAGGAATTTACACAGAGCTATGAGTATGGGCCTAAAAGCTTTTAAAGAAATAATCCTATAAATTGGGCAGACTAAAAACTCTCAGGTCACCAGATAAAACTATCAATTTAAGGAGACCTCATATACTTTGTTAGATATTTTGCTTTATAACAGACATTGCCAAGACTTCAGAAAATAAGTAGCAGAGGACATAAAGCAAGTCTGAAAATAATGGGAAAAATGTAACTTGAAATCATTACTGTGCCATATAGACAGCTTAAGGGCGAAGGGATAATCAGGCACTGGGTAGTATTTTCAGATGTTTATTAAGTCACTAGGTGGGTTTCTATGTCAATAGAGTTAATTATCCCATCCCAAGCCATTGTTACAATGAATTTATACCAGATCTATTTAATTTTACAATGCAATAAAATTAAGAGTAACAACAACTTTCTGGTATTTACTTGTAGCTTTCTTCTTATGAGTTGATTGCAAGGACTCAAGTCTTATTAATGGTTGTATCTTACAGAAGTGTGCTTCAACATAGGAGATTAATAAATATTTTTAAAAATTACTACAGAGCACTTTGAGCTTTCAATGTTTTCAACATTTATTATCCCATTTTTGTCTTCACAATTACTCTGTGGGGTCAGCAAGGAAGAGATTACAGTCTGTTTTACGAGAGCAAAAACTGAGGTACAGAGAGCTTAAAACCTCTAGCCCAGGTACTTCAGCAAATTTGTAGATCTCATTCTGATGCTAAACTCTTCTTTCATTAGTTCTGTCAAAGTTCACAAGTGGACTAAACTTCAGCAAATTTGTAGATCTCATTCTGATGCTAAACTCTTCTTTCATTAGATCTGTCAAAGTTCACAAGTTCACTAAACAACCAAAACGTCCATCAGTGAAAATTACTAATCATTTCTTATGGCAAGGCAGACTGGAAAATACAAAATAAGGCCTGGGTCTTTACAGTAAAGCAGTTTATAACAGAATTACAGTAACAGGACGTGTAAACATGAATACTACTGCTGATGTCAGGTATGAAAAATAATGTCATTATTTCCATTGCTTTATAATTCATAAATACTTGTTCATTTTCTCTTGTAGTTTTTGAGACATTAGCTATAATGTGGCAAAGACAGTATGATGTCAGAAGTAAGGACTCACCAAGCAGTCTCTCAATGTCATCCACAACCACACAACTGAGCTGAGATTTGTACGCATCGTCAAAGATCTGGAAGGAAGCAAAGCCATTTATTATTTTGCTGCCTTTTGCATGATACTTTGTGAGAAGATTAACTCTAGTTACTTCTTGAGCTATATTTAAACAAAGTAAAACACTATTATACTTTAGACTACAATAAATTAGAATTTAATGGAGTATAGGATTTTAGAACTGGGAAGAGTTCTTGTAAGCAAACTGAGACCCAACGCAGTTAAATGAATTCCCGAAGATGACTAAACTGGATCTTGGCTGACCAGAGCGCAGGGTAAGGCTGTTCTCAGCGCTAAGAGCTACATGTACCACACTTGGGCCTGCAGGGGATCATGGATCAACTGGCAAATCCCATCACGTTTATCACACTGGTCTCTTATATCTGTGCCAGGAACAGGACTTTAGTGTTGTGATTCAAGAGCCAGATGGAGCCCCAAGGGATGTGTAGAATTAAGCCAGATGTCACTTTATTACCTGTAAGAATTGTGGCCCTGTTAAGCAAAAATACGTCGAAATCAGAGTCCTGTCAAATCACACCATAATGGTAAAAGATTTTACAAAAGAATTAAAGTTACACATGAAGAGTCAGATAGATGTATGTATGAAACCAGACAAAAGTATGTAAGGATACTGTCTTAAGACAGCCAAAGAAATAAATGGAGATTAAGGCAAGCTTGAAGAAAGTTGTTTTTTCCTGGCAAAGGTGCAGATTTCAAACCAGACATTAGGTTATGTGTAAGTTGAATAGAAGTGCCCAGGGCCTTAAGACCAGCCTTTTTGGAAATGAGGGTTTCTATTCCAGAGAGGGCAAGTGGGGCTCAGTGCAACTAATTGATGTCATGGTAAGAAATTAATTCTGTATCCTACCCCAATCTCTCTGGTTGATAAATAACTCAGTGCACTATGATGGTAAAACCCAACCCAACCCCTAAATACATCTTGCTTGGGGTGGCATAATATTCTTTAATGGGTATCTTTTAACCATATAAGATTTGGAATTAGGAATAGAAATAAAGTAAATCAAACTCATAATATTAATACATTTCATATTCGGTTTAAAGACAATTTATGTATACCATGTTTCCCCCAAAATAAGACACTATCTTATATTTATTTTTTCTCAAGAAGACATGCTAGGGCTTATTTTCAGGGGATGTCTTATTTTTATTAAGTATAATACAACAATTTACAATTATTCAAATACAGTTAAGTCATCTTCTTCTGGAACCTGACAGGGGAGCTGACCTTGTTGGTGGGGCTGGTGCTAGTGATGCATAAACTCCTTTCCCCTAGCGGTTCGCACGTGCACAATAGGATGCCTGTGACCTGCGGTTACCACATGCGCACCCATACAAGTGCGAATGGCTCGGAGAAAGGAGCTGTGGCAGATGAAAGGTATTCCAGTCCTCCTTACCGCTCCACACTGAAATGCATGGCGTGACTATGCAGCATATCTGCTAGGTCTTATTATCGGGGTAGGGCTTATATTTAACAAATGCATAGAAATCGTGCTAGGGCTTATTCTTTTGGTAGATCTTATTTTCAGGGAAACACTTGGTCTTTAAAGTATTTTTAACAATTAAGTAAAAAAAGAAAAGAAAAGTTACTTTACTAGAGTCTCATTGCCACCATCTTAATTCAGTTCCTCATTACATCTTTCCTAGCATAAATACTGTCAACAATTTCTCCAAATAGTTAATCAAGTCAGCTCTCCAGTGGACTTGCTTTGCTTTGAACCACCACTTTTAGTCCCTAATCACTCTCAAATATGCTATCAAAACTCCATCTATCCTTTCACCTTCAGCTGTTTCCCTAATGCATTGAGGTGGATAAAAACTTCCTTCTATTAGTATTACCTCTAGGATACAGCCCAGAGCATTATTTAGTAATGATGTGTGCTTAGTAGGTTCAAGGGTTGAAACAATACAAGCCCTAAGTCAATCCTGCTGTAAGTTACTTGCCTCTCTTCTCCTTTGATATAGCATTTTATATATTAAGTAAAGGAGGTCCCATAGTTGAGCCTAACTTTAGAGGGGCTGCAGATAGATGGTTTCACCGTGTGCCCTGAGAGAGAACTGGGATGTGTGTGTGGGATTCCCCAGTGACTACCACAGTATAGCTCCCATGCTCTATGCCAACCACATCATCTTATATTTTCCCTAGCCTTTTATCTCCTCCCCATTAAAAAAAAAAAAAAAGGAAGAGATAATGAGAAGAATAGGATATTTACTTCAGATTCTTTTTTTTTGAGATAGAGCCTCAAGCTGTCGCCCTGGGTAGAGAGCCATGGCATCACAGCTCACAGCAACCTCCAACTCCTGGGCTCAAGCAATTCTCCTGCCTCCGCCTCCTAAGCAGCTGGGACTACAGGCACCTGCCACAATGCCTGGCTATTTTTTTGGTTGCTGCCATTGTTGCTGTTTGGTGGGCCAGGGCTGAATTTGAACCCACCAGCTCAGGTGTATGTGGCTGGCACCTTAGTCGCTTGAGCTACAGGCACCAAGCCTACTTCAGCTTCTTGATACATAATGATGGTTCCTTTTGGCTTTGAGTTGGTGCATTCAAGACAACTGAAATGTCTGAAAGTAGTTCCCCAGTGGTTCTCTGCCATTTTCTCGAAGACCGAACAAATACAGCAGCCATTGCAATATCTCACAAACTCAGGAGATTCAGAGAATCAGTCAAAATAATGTTTTGCTTTTCAAATCATTTTTTGAGAATTCTATTAAAAGCTCTGATGCAAGCATGTAATTCTGACCTTGGGCTGCTGTGAGATCATGGATTAGAGCCATAGGCGCCGGGGATACCACAACCTGGCTGGAAGCAGTAGTCCTCCATTTTTCCTAAATCTGCCCTTCTCAAAACAATTTATAGCTTATATGGTTACAGGGACCTTACTGAGGACACTACAGGGGTCTAAACTGTATTGCTATGTGTATGTAGTCTCACCAACTTATCTCAGATACTGTAATTCAAAAAGCACTACAAATCACTGCCCAGCTGACTTCATGGGCTACCTATAACATGGGAGGGAGGGAAAAAAATACCTACAGCAGTCATTTAATATAAAGTAGTGGGTTTTGTTTTTGTTTTGTTTTTTACAGACAGCTCTCAGTGTACTAATTACTATCAGAGGGAGAGACGTGCTCACAGCAAACTCTCTTAACGATGCACTAACCATGACAAAGGCTGTGCAATTCCAGTTGTAACTTGACTAGTTTCAATTGACCAGTCAACCGAAACTACTTTGGGTAGCTCCTCGGCTCTGATTTAAATATATATATACACACCCCTTTCACTTCTTACACATACATTCTCTTCGTTATCTAGTCTCGGGTGCAATCTATGGTCGGCGCTTGTTCCCTGAACCCATGGTTTCTGCCTAGTCTCCTCAGTCCCTTTCCCAATCAGCTTCCTGGCCTAGGCCCCAGCAGAACCCTCACTAAGAAGACACTCACATTTGATCGACAACCTGAGATTAGCTGCCAGACTAAAGTTTAAATGAGATATTTACATACTGAGCAGGGAAGTTTTGCCACAACTTTGGGTAGGTAAACCCGAAAAGAGAAGTACTAGAAAGAAAGAGGCAGGAAAAGTAAAATCATACTAACTGCCCTAGTTAGAACAGTACCACTGAAGTGCCAGTCTCACATCAGACACGGCACACAGTGGATGCACAGTGTCTGCTCCACATCAAATGATGCCTCCACACAGAGGCACCCAGGAGGGCTGAAGCTGGAGGAAAGGGCTGTGTCTTACAGATTCCTTAAAAAAATCAGTCTACAGAATATAGGGTCATCCTAGTGTAATCAGGGAGTTTCCTGTAGAGCAGGTAAGATTGTGAGCCTACATATTTGGGTCTTAAAGTCAGGTATGAAGTCTGCAAGAGAAGGGTAAGGGGAAAAAATGGGCAGAGTTAAAGAAGGAAACGATATGAGAAAGAGTGGCATCAGCCAGCAGGAGTCTCAGGAAATAATGAGAGGTCTATTACAAAGGACGAGGAACAGCTCTGGGAACCACGAAATCCATAGTCTATTTCTAGTTGTGCAGATGAGACTGTCACTATTAAACTCTCTGGTACCACTTCTATCACATGCAAAGGAGGATAGTACAACACCAGCTTGAGGGTCGTAAGAGATAACCCAGGATGTTAGGAGCCTGGGCTCAAAGCAAAAGTGAGCTGGATGTGCTCTGAGCACTGAGGGAGAGGAGAAGTGGACCTCATCACAGGGGGTTAGGAGCAAGTCTCCATATGTGCTAGATATAAAGGACATGGCAAGTTCTTACGACCCAGATCCTACTCCTGGAACATTCCATCAAACTAGGAGCCACCTGTATGTAGGGAGGGGCGGCAGCTGCAGGCCCTGGAGTCTACATGAGTACAGATGGGAGCACACCAGCATGAGCTCTATTAATCCCAGCCTTTCAGAATCACACACCGCAGCAAAATATGTTCTAAGGAGATCTCGCCCTCTATCCTCTGTGACCACCTTAGTGCTCTTAGGTAAGGAAAGCCAAATTTTCTGGTTCTTTTGGGGCCTGAAAGAGTTCATCTCAATTCTAAAGTGGTTGCTGTGAAGTACCTCATTAGCAGAAATCTGATGACTGTAGGAGTCTGATGGCATAGAAAATCCCTACTGTAGTAAATCTGTCAGCGATTAGTTGAAAGCGTACTCTAATCATATTTGGTAGCATATAAAAACATAAATGAGCAAATTCAGATTGGTGCTATCTGTAATAATCTCTAGTTTCTAAATATAACTTGGGAGTAGACCAAGCAAACATTAGCTGTCTTCTAATGACACTGCCTCAGGAAGTGGACCTAAACTGTTGGCAAAGCAGAAAGCTTCCTGGAATGACCTTAAAATCTTTCATTTGTTCGCTCTGCTTTTCAGGAACAAAATCCTACATTTTCATATAACATGAGCCACAGAATGGGATATTCTTAATAATAGAATAAGTCCCAAGGTCTGCACCACCTTCTTTGTACGCCACACGGATACCAGTGACAAAAGACA